GCATCTCAGCCCCCGGCCATGGGGCCTGTATAACTAGTCCCCACGTCCCACCCCAGAGGGGACGCATCTCAGCCCCCGCGCCCCACCCCAGAGGGGACGCATCTCAGCCCCCGGCCATGGGGCCTGTATAACTAGTCCCCACGCCTCACCCCAGAGGGGACGCATCTCAGCCCCCGCGCCCCACACCAGAGGGGACGCATCTTAGCCCCTGCGCCCCACCCCAGAAGCAGCTGCATTGCAGTGCCAGGTGCAGTGATCCTTGTGCCCAGGGCCCAGCCCCAGGGCCGCTCCGCTCAGCCCCCATTCCCCAGCAGGTGCGGCAGCTGCAGGAGGGGGCGGCCCAGCTGCGCACAGTGTACGCCGGGGAGAACGCCGATGCCATCGCCACCAAGGAGCAGGATGTGCTGCGGGCGTGGAAGGAGCTGCTGGGCTCGTGCGAGGCGTGCCGGCTGCAGATCACCACCACCACCGACAAGATGCGCTTCACCAGCATGGTGCGCGACCTCATCTCCTGGATGGACGGCGTCAGCTGCCAGATCGGTACTGGCGAGAAGCCCAGGTACCGGGGCCAGCGGGGCTTGGCCTTGGGAGCCTCAGACGGCTCAGCGCAGCCCAGGCCTTGGCCTTCTGCAGCATCGCTCCGTCCATCCATCCCTTGCTCCATCCCTCCGTCCATCCATCCCTCGCTCCATCCATCCCTTTGTCCTGCAGCATCCCTCCATCCATCCCTCCCTCGCTCCATCCCTGTGTCCTGCAGCATCCCTCCATCCATCCATCCCTCGCTCCATCCCTCCTTCCATCCCTCTGCCCTGCAGCATCCCTCCATCCATCCATCCCTCGCTCCATCCCTCTGTCCTGCAGCATCCCTCCATCCATCCATCCCTCTGTCCTGCAGCGTCCCTCCATCCCTCGCTCCATCCCTCCTTCCATCTCTCTGCCCTGCAGCAGCCAGCCAACCCTCTCACTGTCACCAGCGCGGGCTCCTCACCTCCCCATGCCCCGGCCCGTTTGATGAGTGGCCGCCCTGTGCAGGACCCACCCCAGACGCCGTGGCAGAGCTCCTGGGGGCAGGAAGGGGGCAGAGAACCCGGGCTCTGGACTCTCCCCTCTGGGTGCCTGAGGAAGAGAGGTGGTTTGTCCAGGCCTGGGGACCCGCTGGGGACAGGGCTGGCTGGTGGGTCCCCTGGCATGGATTCGAGGGCAGGGTCGTGGCCCTGGAGCCCACGCGGCCGCTCTGGGGGCCCCTCCGCCCGGCCCCGCTCCTCCCCCATAGCCAGGCCTGCCCCATCTCCCCCCAGGGACGTGTCCTCGGTGGAGGTGCTGATGAACTATCACCAGGGTCTGAAGAGCGAGATCGAAGCCCGAAGCCAGAGCATCGCGGCCTGCGTGGAGCTGGGCAAGACCCTAGTGCTCAACAGAAGCCCCGTGGCCGAGGAGGTAAGGCCGGCGCTGGGGCTGGGGTGGGGTGGGGTGGGGGGACAGGGCGCGGTGCTTGGGGGATGGGGAGGGGGCAGGGGGGACAGGGCCTGGGGGGATGGGGGATGGGGTGGAGGGATGGGGCGGGGGGACCGGATGGGACATGGGGCCTGGGGGACAGGGCAGGGGGACAGAGCTTGGGGGCTGGGGCAGGGGGACAGGGCGTAGGACCTGGGGGATGGGATGGGGGGACAGGGGGCGGGCGCTGGGGCAGGGGGACAAGGGCTGGGAGACGGGGAGATTCGCCATCGCTGCCACTTGGGGCTGGCACCGCCGGGGGCTGGGGTGTGGGGTGTGCAGGCCCCTGGCAGACACACGTGTCTCTCTGCAGATCAAGGGCCACATGGAGAGGCTGATGACCAAGAAGAAGGAGCTGACTGACAAGTGGGACAAGCACTGGGAGTGGCTGCAGCAAAGTGAGTCCAAGGCACCCGCCCCCCAGGCCGGGAACGGACCCTGTAACAAACCTGGGGGCGCCTGCTTACAGCCGGGGGGGGCACCTGGGAGCCAGGACTGGGAGGGGAGGGGGGGTTGGTGGTTAGAGCAGGGGGGGCTGGGAGCCAGGACTCCTGGGTTCTATCCCCAGCTCTGGGAGGGGAGGGGGAGTTGGTGGTTAGAGCAGGGGGGGCTAGGAGCCAGGGCTCCTGGGTTCTCTCCCCGGCTCTGGGAGGGGAGTGGGGGCTGGTGGGTTAGAGCAGGGGGGGCTGAGAGCCAGGACTCCTGGGTTCTCTCCCCGGCTTAGTTGCCGTGTGCCCTGGGCGAGTCGTGCCAGCCCTCTGGTGTTCAGTGGCCCCTCCGTGGACGGCACGTGGAGACTGGCACCCCCTGGTGGTGCTGGTGTGTGGAGTGTCACGGAGTATTGGGGAACTCAGGGCCCTGCA